GAGGGGAACCGTTTGGTAGAGCCTCCTTTGAAAGGAGAGGTTAGGCCCTGGAAATGGAAGCTAGGGCAAAGTAGGAGACCTAGGGGAGGGTCAGGGAAGCTCTGGGGTCAGCCTTATGATCTAATCCAGCCCTGGTCAACCTTCTACCATTTCACCTTCCTGGCCTCTGGAAGTCTCACTGCGGCCCTCTCTGGCTCCTCCTCCAGCCTTCCTGCACCTGCTGCTTTCATTCCTTTCCTTATCACTCTTATCTTTGTGTCCTCTCTGCCTTTACCTCATTTCTTCCAACATTTATTTATTAAGCCCCTGTTGTATACTAGAAATAGCAGAGGGGATCAGAGATGATCAGAGAGGAGGCATCCCTGTGGCCACATGTTGGGACCCTCACACAAATTGCTTTTTGTCCACTGCTGGCTGAGACTCTTAGCAGCTTATGAAAGGGGTTCCAGAGGTTATTCCCATTTCCCAGGAGTAGAAAATGAGGCACTGAGGTTACTTAGATACCTTGTGTTTGGAAATTGCTTGCCACCAGCCTTCCTACTGAGGTTCTTCTAGGAGGTCCATTTTCCTTTTCTGGCTTCACCAAAGAGGAATCAAATGATGAGAGAGGTCACTTGCCTTGATTGAAGTCAGAAGGTGGCAGAGGCCAGAACCCACTGTGTCTGTGGCTCTCCTTGGAGGTCACTAGGCGCTGTGTAGACCCCAGGTGTGAGGACTAGCGGGGTACCCACTCTGTGCAGAGCCAGAGGAGATTGTACAGGGTCATGAGGTGTTTGTATTCACCTTGAGGCCCAGTCCCGAGCAACTGGCTGGCCAGCACTGTGACCCAGGCCTCTCTCTGCCCATGGAGGAAGATGCTAGACTCCCTCAGTCACATCCATTGCCCCATGGAGACCCTGATGACCTGTGAGGTCAGACTTTGCTCCAGCAGGGCATAGCGGAGAGTCAGCAGCCATCCCTTCTCCTTTGTTCTTCTGTGCGGCTGGTGACCCGGGGTGACTCAGTCCTGCTGGGCCTCTCTGTAACTAGGGGAGAAATGTCACATGCCTCTCTGATAGCGTGAACTGTCAGAGGATGAGGACTTTGTGGGTTGTTGGACACCTGTTGGAGAACCTGTCTGAGACCTGGGCTATGTCCTTGACTCCTCCTGCTGAGCTTCCTGCTCAAGGGCAGACCTGGAATTCCCATCTGTAAATTGGAGCAATCTGCTCATTGGTTTTCATGGTTCCCATGAGCCTACTGAGTTCACTGGACATAGGAGCATGTGCTGCCTAGGCCTGGAAATGTGGTCTGGCTAGACAAACTCCACCTCTCCCGGCCGGTCCCCCCTTCCCCCTCCCCACTCTGAGATCTTCTAGAACTCCAAATTCTGACACTCCCTTTCTAGACCTCTCTAGATAAGAAAGGCAACATCGCAAAGATACTTTAGCTATTGCGTTCCATGAGCCATGAGATTTTACTTTGTGAATTGGAAAGGACATTGCAAAAACACCCAACACCCGGACTCTGAGGTCTTCACATCTATCTATCTGTCTCGGATTTCACCCTACAGAGGAAGTGATAATGAACATTAATCAAAACTGTCACTGCCCTCTGGGAACTCCCTGGGTTGAGAGAGAGAGAGAGAGAGAGAGAGAGAGAGAGAGAGAGAGAGAGATTACAGGGCAGGAACAAGCTAGCATCAAGATGGGGCCCTAACAGGGGTCCCAGGCAGGAGCACAGGTTAATTCAAATGGTTTCTTCATACCCTGGGACTGGAATCCCCAGAAGATTCATCCCCAGGCTATTGTGATGCAGGACAGCACTGTGGGAGTGGAAAGAGAAGGCCCCACCAGAACTCTGGGCTTGATGTGGCCTGAAGCTGCCAGGATAGTCAGAGCTGCAAAGATTCACCTAGAAGCCTAAGGAATGAAACTGGAGCCCCCCGCCCCCCCCCCAGGCCTGGAGATGTGAAAGGAGCCCTGCAGCCTGGGGGTGTGGGCCTTAGGGGGTGAGCACAGCTGGGAACATCAGGCTGAGGAGATAGGACTTTTCTCCCAACACCAGAGTCAGCTGAAAGGAGAGGGTGGGACAAGGGAAGGGCAGAAGCGAATCTTCCTCTTAGACCTGGAGGAGAGAGGAGCAGGCCTAGAGGCAGAGACCTCTAGGAAGAAGCCTCAGAACTAAGGCTGCAGGGAGGATGGAAATAATCCACAGCGTGTGGACAAGGAAGAGGGACCCAGTAGGCAGGGTAGTTGATGGCACCTTTGCTGCCTGTCTGGTGTTAGAATTATGTTCACAGGGGCTGGGGAGATGGCTCCAGGAAAGTGTTTGCTGCTTAAGAACGAGGTCCTGAGTTTGGATCTCCAAAACGCACATAAAAACTGGGTATGGTGGTCTCTAACCCTGGTACTGGGGGTTGGGGGTCAGGAGGGAAAGGACATGGAGACAGGTAGTTACTGGAGGTCTCTTGTTAATCAGCGAGTTTAGCGAGAGACCCTGTCTCAAAACATAGGGTGCAGAGTGCCTGAGGAAGATGCTGGGTATCAACTTCTGGTCTTTACATACGTGCACATACATGTGCATGCACATCAGCACACATACAAGAAGTATGTGCGTAATCTCACTGTATTTATTAACATAGGAACTGCTGTTCCCACTTTAAAGATATGGAAATTAACTAGGAGAGAGGAAGCATGTCTACCACCATTCAGCCAGCTAACATCTTAGCAAAGGTCTCTCCTCCAATCAGGTCCTCTCTGCTACTGTATACTCAGAGGGAAAGGGGCTTGTCCTTTCCACAGCTGGCCTTTCAACTGCCCCCAGCTGATCCTGTGAACTCTAAAAGTGACCCGAGGGATCATCTTGAGGCAACAGGAGGAGTGGAGTAGATTTTCCTTTGCTGTGGATGTTGAACTTTCCCTCTATATCCCCCATTACCCCCCCCCCCCCCAAACACACACACACTCGGCCCCAGGGCGGGAGGGCGGCTGTAATGGGGACTTGCAATCACCAGCTCTCTGTGAACCTTGGCTGTCTTTCTTGAGGTGGTTAAGCCCTGGGTGACCCTTCTTGGCTAGAACATAGGGAAGTCCTGTGGCTTTGGCAGGAGTGTTCCTGGGTTGCTGCTGGGCGTGGTGGTGAGCCTGGCCCAGTGTCCCTGATTCCCAGCTGGCCTCCGGGCTGCAGACTCCTTTGATGGCTCATTCATTTCCTTTCAAGTCTGGACCTCCTGGCCGGAGACCGAAACCTCTAGTTGGCACGGGGTCAGGGGTCCTTGGTTGTGGGCTTGCCTCATCCAGGGCCTTCCTTTCACACGGGCTGTGGAGGCTGAACACAGCAACAGGGAGATTCACAGTGGCCTCTTGACCTCCACTAGGTTATTCGTTCTACTGCTTGCTGGGGTGAAATGCTGACTGTCTAGCCGAGGCCCCCATGAATGGCAGGGGAGCCAGGAGTGGGCTGAGGAAGATGAGAGGGGCTTGGCAGGTTCCTCTAGATCCCAGGCTAGGGACAGAGGGGCAGGTGGGGACTTGGCAGTCTTCTGCGTGGACCTTGGAAGATATAGATGACCTTGGTGGCGGGAGAAGATGACAGGGGCTGCAGAGTCTCCTTGGAGAGCACCCGTGTGTGGGGTGGAGAGAAGCAGGAGACACCTGAGGACATTTGGGGCTGGAGTCCCAAAACCACAGAGGAGCTGCAGAGACTAGGGGAAGGGTCTACAGCAAGATCCCCACGTGTACACAGGTAGTGGACGCCAAATTCTGGGGCTTTGGTGGAGCGATGAGGGTGCAGCCAAACACAGTAGGTGGAGGAGAAAGGGGTAGCCTCTGCTTTCCTGTGTGCCTTCTGGCCCTCTCCTCTGCAAAATGGGTCACAAAGCACTTGAAATCAGTGAGGGCCTGGAGGAATCCAGGTCTCGTAGCATGGAAGAAACACTGTGGTGAGCTGGCCAGGGCAGGCATGATCCTGGACTGAGGGTCCTCTGACTCTGGGATCTGGTGACCCTGAGCTGGGTACTGGATCTCAAGGAAGGCCTAGGTGGCAGGAGGGTGCTCTAGACAGAAAGACGAGCCCGTGCCAAGGTACTGACACTAGCTTAGGTGTGGGACTATGAGGGCAAGGCTGAGGGGGGTGGCCACGCTGGCCCTAGGCGCTAAAGCAGCTGAATACCATGGCACAGTCTTAGTTGTGCCCAGGGGCTGTGTGTTTTCTTCCCCATTGGTGAGCTCTTTTCCGTTCTGGCTAAATCTGCTTCTTGTCTGTGGGTCCACCAGCCTTCAGATCTGGTTCTTGGAAGACGCCTGCCAGAGCTTTGTTGAACTAGACTGAACTCTGTCCTCCTTATGCCTCTGCTCTCAGCCCTGGGGCCCCCTAAGTGCTGACGTCAATTTCATCGCTTCCATTAAGGATTCCTCTGA